CTGTTTTTTTGACTTATGATGTTTTATTGGTAAGTTACATTTGTAACAAAAGCTAAAGACTTTCTTTAATAAATAAAATAGATACAGTTCCTTTGTATCTGATTATTTGAGGACTGCCTCATGGGTCCACTGTGGGGTGGCCACTTTATTCGGGGTTTCTATGCCCTGCTTTGATATGTATGTGATAATTTTGACCTCCTGTTCCACACACAATATGTGCGAGTTCGGCACACAGTAATTTATTTAATAATTTCCCTGGTATTTTCACTATTTTTTTGCTTGAGAATTTACAGTCACAGGGACTGATGAGAGGGCACAGCACATTGTTCACACTACTAGCAGGGGATGAGTTACTGGAGGCAAGTATAGTAAGTATACTGCACCTATACCGCACCTTTGCTGTATACTGGTTTACCAAAACTATCGTTAAGTGCACCAATGCTTCTTAAAAGGCCCCAACAGTAGCCAGAAGAACAATAGCATAAAGGACTGCCACTCCCTTAAAACCATCCTGCAAGTCTTATTTGGTCCCTTCTCCCCTATTCTTCATTTCTATGGACAGTGCACATCCAGTTGGTCTAGTCCTAGCATAGTCACTATCAATGTTCTCTGGCAGTATGTTTCCTAGGTTAGGTAACTCAAGTTTAATTACTGCTCACTGCTGCACTATAGGTGATCATGCAACTGTTTATGTTGATCTGGATGCCAAGTGTCACCTTATGTGAAGTCCTTATTACTAATAACTCTGTATGCTATATTGTGTTTTTACCATTGTCAATCCATTTCTATGCTTACTTCATTACCAACCATATCAGGTGACAATATATTAAGTTTGCCTTTACTAACTGGTTCAGTGTCTGTTTTCTTTGATATAGTTCTACTACTGGGTACTAAGTATTACTATTAGAGGTTTTCTGTGGTATGGCATGCTTTGCACACTCAACCTAGTGTGTCAAAGGGGTGGAAATTCTTAAAGCAGTTGAGGCAAAGAACAGAGGACTTCTCCTAACCAGTAGCTCCTATGGGGTTTGCTCTACAGTTAACTTGGATACTGGTAACATGAAACATTATATCTGACACAGGGCCCAAATTCAAGAATTATTAGTCATTCTCTTTGGATAATAACTACAATGTAGTCATGCATTTATACTAACTAGCTCCTAGCAAAATTGTCACAAAGTTTAACTTAGGCCTAAATGACCATGAACTGTGAAATGCCAGGATGAAGTCTACCATCAGTACTAGCTTTGTGAGCTGGGAAAGGGAGGAACTTTAGGACAAATTATACCATGGAAATTCTTCATGAATCAGCATTTGTAGGAACATTTTCATGAACTGTATTGCTTCTTATATAAAATATGCACAGTAATTTCAGATGGAAATCAGTGGCAATAAATACTTAAAATAGTAATAAGATATGGGCTAACAAGCTGTCAGACCCCCATACATTTATGGCAAGTGCTGAGCTCTTCATGTTCCAAGCATGGCCGGATCTAGGGGGGTGCTGGGGTGGGCTACGCCCCCCCAGACTTCAGTTGTGCCCCCCCCAGACTGCTGAGCTCCTCCCCCCCCCCCATCCCCACACTCAGAGCCGGGACAAAGGAAAGGAAGCCTGGAGCAGTTAAGTCCAGAATGTGATGAGAGAGCAAGGAGTAGCTGTTCTGTGCTCTGCTCCCTCCTCCTGTCAGAACAGCGCTGCTCCATATAGCTGATACACAGTTTCAATACCTGCCCCTATCTCCTCCAAGGACCGCCAATGTCCCACAGCAGTAAATGTAAACAGGGGTAGGTAATGAAACTGTGTACAGCCCCATGGTCAGAGCGATCCTGTGTCATCAGCTATATGGAGCAGCTCTGTTCTGACAGGAGGAGGGGGCAGAGCAGAGCACCGCTCCTCCAGACTGCAAGTTGGGAGGCGGGGGGGGGGGCTTACAGGCAAATTGTACATAATGAGGGGGGAGGTGTAGGGGGGAAACAGACATTTGTGCTTGGGATGAGAAGGGGCTATCTGTGCTGGAAAGGGTAATGGCGATTTGGGGGGGGGGGGGGGAAATTCTGCTAGGAGAAGGATTTGGGGGATGTAAGCCAGGAGGGGGCATGGGGGGAAAAGTTTGTGCCTATTTGTGCGAAGAGGAGGCAGAGGATTTGGGCTAAGTGGGGGCAGAGGATTTGGAAAGGGAGAGGATCTGTGCTGGGAAGTTTACTTTGGAAGGGGTTTGTGCTAGGAGTAGGAATTTAGAGGAATTTATCATAGGGAGGGGATTGGAGGATGGGGATTTGGGGGAGGGTGGTATTTGTGCTAGGAGGGGGATTAGCAGGGGGATTTGTGCTAGAAGGGGGATGGGGGGTTTGTGCTAGGAGAGGGGATTAGTGGGGGATTTGTGCTAGGAGGGGGGATTACCAGGGAGATTTGTGCTAGAAGGCGGGATGGGGGGGTTGTGCTAGGAGAGGGGATTAGTGGGGGATTTGTGCTAGAAGGGGGGATTGGAGGGATTTGTGCTAGAAGGGGGGATTGCGAAGTTTATGCTAGGAGGGGGGATTAGTGGGGGATTTGTGAAAGAAGGGGGATTGGGGGGGGGATTTGTGGTAGGAGGTGGTAAGGGAATTTGGGTTAAGAGGGGGGACTAGGGATTTGGAGATTTGTGCTTGTATGGTAAATTTGAGAGGAAGGTGGATGTGTGCATGGATGGATGATTTTGTGGGTGAGGGAGATTTGTGCTAGGATGAGGGAATTGGGGGCATTGGAGGCGGGATTGGGGGGGGGGGGCAAAGATTTGTGCTGGGATGTGGGTTTATACTGGGAAGAGGAGGAATTTTTTGCACTGTTTGTGGAAAATTTTATCTTGCCTTGGGAACTAGACAACCTTGTCCTGGCACCACACACAGGGCAGTCAATAGATCTCCTCCTCCCCACTCAACACATTGCTGAAATTGGATTCCCTTACAGACACAGCCTCGATCTTCAGTGTATAGCTGGCTGCTTTGTTGCAGTTCTGACCCTGTCCTCTCTTCTTCTGACCCCAGTACCTCTCTACCCTGCAGACCCTCTGTACCCTGCCCTGCTGACTTCTGTCTTCCATCCTGCTGACCCCTGTACACTGACCTTCTGACCACTGTCCTCTGTCCTGCTGACTCCTTTTTCCTGCCCTGCTGCCCTGTCTTTGCCCTGATAACCCCTGCTGACCTCCCATCCTCTGCCTGCTGACCCCTATCCTGTGCCCTACTTAACCTCTGTATACTGCCCCACTGAGTCTTTTACACCTCCCTGCTGATCTCCCATCCTCTGTCCTGCTGACCCCTATGTTGTCCCCTACTGACTGCCTGTACACTGCCCTACTGAGTCTTGTACACTCCCCTGCTGACCTCTCATCCTTTGTCCTGCTGACCCCCTGTACACTGCCCTGATAACCCTTGTACTGTCTTGATAACCTGCTGTAAACTGCCCTACAAACTAATGGCCTCTGTACTCTGCCCTACAAACAGCTTTCCCTATCTCTCTGCCCTGCTGGCCCTCCTGTACACTGCCCTACTGACTTCTACACACTGCCCTGTTGACCTCGCATCCTCTGCCCCCCTGATGCTTTTTACTGCACTCCCACATCAGACAGGCTAGATCCGACCCTGGTTCCAGGCTGTCAGTAGCATGTGACAACACGTTCATTGTTCTACAGTCCTACCACATGTCCTGCCCATGGACCAACACCCTTACTTCTCAAGGGACATTCTGTGCTATATCCCTGTGCCTGCATGGGTTTCCTCCGGGTACTCCGGTTTCCTTCCACTCTCCAAAGACATGCTGGTAGGTTAATTGGCTCCTGTCTAAATTGTCCCTAGTATGTGTATGTATGAATGTAAGTTAGGGACCTTAGATTGTACACCCCTTGAGGGTTAGGGACTGATGTGAATGTATATATGTAAAGCACTGCGTAAATTGACAGCACTATATAAGTACCTGAAATAAATAAATATACTGTACTTTCACACACACAGCTAAGGCCATAGGCAATCTGTTTTTTTTTTTTTATATTAAGTCAAGTTATCAAGCATCAGAAACAATGTGCGACTGCAGCAATCCCAGGAAGTGGAAGTGATATAATTGCCTTAAATAGGCACTGAGGGCAAATGCTTGTTAATTTATTGTTCAATCTTCTTTAAGTGGTTCTTGTTTTGCTAAAGCTGAACTCCAGGCAAACAAATAAATGCATAAACTAAAGTAAAAACTAAAACCTGCGCTATAGTTTTTAAAATAAATCAATGAGAAATACCACAATAAAATAAAAATTGACAACAACAGCTGCACTCATAGATTTCAGAATGCAACGGCAACCCTCCGACGAGGTTCTCTGGGATTTAACACATTAGGGTGGGGTCAAGTGGTGACGTCATCACATCTGCTTGGATGACCGGTGTTTACTATGCTTCAGTGCTAAGCTGTTCCTTCTATTATATGAGTATATTAGCTTTTTCTAAATAAACATATGAAATGACCACTACACTATTGGGTCCCCTCTCCCTTCTTTCTATTTGTGAGATGTGGTTGTAATAAATGAGGTGCACTGCTGTTGGAGAACCATCTATGCTTGTGTGAAAGGATTACGAGACATCCATTCCCTTAAGAGGAGTTTAAAGTGATACTAGACCTCTTTTGTTTTGAGGTCTTGGGCTGTGGTAAGCAGATCTTTGCGGTGGAGCTTTGAGCACAGAGATCGGTGATGGCATTGATTTATTGAATATCACACAAGGAAGTATGTTTAAGAGATCATCTTGGGACTTTAAATGAAGGACGTTTTCATATTTATTTACTTTGAACATAACATCTCAACACTTTATTTATTAACCACTTGCCTACAGGGCACTTATACCCCCTTCCTGCCCAGGCCAATTTCCAGCTTCCAGCGCTGTCACACTTTGAATGACAATTGCGCGGTCATGCAACACTGTACCCATATGAAATTTTTATCATTTTTTGAGACAGATAGAGCTTTCTTGTGGTGGCATTTAGTTACGTCTGGGATTTTTATTTTTTCTTAAACAAACCAAAAACCACTGAAAATTTTGAAAAAAAAAGTTTTTTTCATAGTTTTTGTTATACAATTTTGTAAATAAGTGATTTTTCTCCTTCTCTGATGTGTGATAATGAGGCTGCAGTGATGGGCAATGATAGGCTGCACTGATGGACACTGATAGGTGGTACTGATGGGCACTGATGAGGAGGCACTGGTAGGTTGCACTGAGGGGCACTGAAAGGCAGCACTGATACATGACACTGATATATGGCACAGATAGGCGGCACTGACAGGTGGCACTGATGGGTGACATTGAAAGGCAGCTCAGATGGGCACTGATATGTGGCATTGATGAGCACTGATATGCACTGATATGTGGCATTGATGAGCACTGACAGGTGGCACTTCTGGGGCCACACTGATCATCAGGGCACACTGATCATCAGTGCCCTGATGATCAGTGTACATATCCCCTCCGCGGAAAGCCGATTACCGGCTCTCCTCTCTTCTCGAGCTGTCAGCGTGACAGTTCGAGAGGAGAGAAATGCCAATAACCGGCATTTCCATGTTTACATGTGATCAGCTGTGATTGGACACAGCTGATCACATGACCGAGCCGACATCTTTGGCTCTTTCCGTGATCCGCTGTGTCCGAGGGACACAGTGGACCGGTGATCGCCGCGCTGCGTGCTCCCTGAGCCGCGCATGCGCAGTGAGAATGGTAGAACGTCATATGACATCCTATCAGAACGAGAGAACCACCTTGCGCCCGTCATTGTACTATAGGGCGGGCGGAAGGTGGTTAAACAACTAAATGCATAGCTGACATACTCATATGAAACTGTCTTACCTTCTTAATCACTTCAAATCCAGACACTTTCACCCCCTTCCTGTCCATGTCGATTTTCAGCTTTCAGTGCCATCACACTTTGAATGACAATTCAACATGGTCATGCAACACTGTACCCATATGAATTATTTTGCATTTTTTTGAGACAGATAAAACTTTATTTTGGTGGTATGTATTCACCACTGGGATTTTTATTTTTTTTTTGCTATATAAATGAAAAAGTCCCACATTTTTGAAAAAAAGTGTTCTTATAAAATTTAGCAAATAAATAATTTCTTCATAAATCTTGGCCAAAATGTATTCCGTTATCTTTTTAGTAAATTTAACCCAAATTAGTTTATAACCAAAATGTATAGATTTTCAAAATTGTTTATTAATTTTTATATTATTATTTATGTTTTTTTTTTTTAACACACTGTCACCCTAGCAGTACAGTGTCACTGTACTACTTGTGGGAGGTGATGAAATTTTTTTTTTTTTTTACACTGATTGCTTTTACACCCATAAAGGCTGTAAAAGCAATCATTTTTCCTTCTCTCTGGCTGCATTCTTGCAGTCATTGAGAAATAGTGTGAGAGCTGTGATTGGTCACAGCTTGTCACATGGTACAAGGCTGTTGTGAATAGCCTTGTACCATGTGACCTCTGTGATCATTCACAGATTTCACTAGTAGTAAGCAATGTTTTCAGGAAGTGACATCTTATTTACTACTGGTCCTGTGATCACTGATTGGCCAATCAGTGATCACATGATCGGGACCTCACTCAGAGGTCCCGTACAGCGATCGGTGTTCCGCTCTGTCCGGAGGACACAGCAGGCACCAGATCGTGGTGCCACGTGTTCCCAGGGAGCGCGCACAGGCTGTAAATACGGGCGCCGTTTATGAATGGCTACCTGCTCCTGCACTGCTCCCGTCCAGCTGTTTATGTACATGGGCCGGATGGGAAGTGGTTAAAGCAGATCTTCGCCCTAAAAAAAACCCTCCATCCTCTCCAACCCTCCTTCCCTCGCATAAAGCTCTTTTTTTGTTTACCTTTTTTCATTGCAGATATTTCAGTCCTGCCCCCCATGCTCGTCAGTCGCCTATGAGATTGATGTGCTCTGTGCTCCCTTTGACTCCTGGAAGATGCATGTCACATCTCTGGGATATACATGTCACCTATACCAGAAAGCATAGTCTTTCATTCATAGTAGAAGAAGGAGGGGGGTGCCTAGTGGTGCACCGACCGAAGAGACACCAGCCTCTTGATGACACCACACATCAAGTTTTTGAAAATAAACTGCTGACACCGGAATGTGATAATTTTCTCTTTTGTAGGCTGCGTATATGGACCAGCAAATGACATCATGCAACTACATGATCAATGCGCATCATATGCAGGTGAAAAACATGATGCAAGTAGGAAGCTTTACAATGCCTCCTAGATTGTAAGCTCCAAGGAGCAGAGCCCTCCTATCCCTCTTGTATTGAACTGTATTGTTGCTGTATTGTCTCCCATTATATTGTAAAGCACTGAGCAAACTGTTGGTGCTAAATAAATCCTGTAAAATAATAATAATAAAATGTGTCTCAAATAACGTTCTGAGACATTTCTTGCCTGATGACAGGAATGGTCCCAGTACAGCGCTAATATTACATTTACTGCTTTATTGGTCCACTTTAAATACTGTATCAGCACAAATGCAAAGCTATCTAATCAAAACCTGTTTTTTTAAAAAAAAAAAAAAACTTGGATTGGAGATGAACTGACTATTAGGCCACATATGGCAAGCAGAAATACAAAGTTATGTAATTTTCCCCATGTAGAAAGTATGTCATGGTACTTGGATAACTGAAGAAAACAAATCTTCAATATTTTATAGCTTAATTACAAAGATACACAGATCACACAATACATATGGCTCTGAATTATTATATTCCCCAAACACAGTACGATGAAAGCTGAGTCTATTCTATCACATTTTATTGCAGCTCGTAGTCCTGGTAACTTGGCTAAAGAGAAATATCACTAACTGACAGATACAATTGCTGATGTATTTAGCTATGTCATGTATTTCAGCACTGGAGAAACACTATGATTAATTTGAATAAATGGAATTACAATTTTTCTATATTGCATTTAGCAATGTGTATAGCAGTTTCACAGTCAAAGGGCAATAAGATAATTAATCTCCTTTCTACTGGTATTTCATTGGCACTGAAACATTTGTACTTGGGATCTTGGCTTATTCCTACTTTAAAAAAACTAATGCTGAAAGGCAGGGTACATAAATCAACTTTGTAAATACCATTTTGTGCCTGCATTGTTCACTTTTACACAGTACAGGTTGGAAAGACTTGCAGCATTTACTTAAAACAGGAAAATACTGTACAGACACAACCTGCTTGCAATTTGCTATAATTTGTTCATTTTAGGTTACCCTTTAGCACTTCAATACTGGGCACTTTCACCCCCTTCCTGCCCAGGCCAATTTTCAGCTTTCAGAGCTCTCACACTTTAATTGACAATTGCACGGTCATGCAACACTCTACTCATATGAAATTTGTATAATTTAGTCAAATACAGATTTCTTTTGGTGGTATTTAATCACCACTGGTTTTTTGTTTTGCTAAACAAACAAAAAAAGACTAAACATTTTGATAAAAAAATGCCTTTTCCAGTAGTCTTTCAGGACAGCACCTTGAGAGACCTCGGCTCCTCCCCACCTGAGGAAACACCTCCACCCTAAATAAAACGTCTATCACTCCCCTCCGACCTCAGTTCTTGATCTGTACCTCCGGTCACCTGGGGAGACATAACATGAGATAACATGACCACAATAAGACATCTCCTAGAATATTCAGCAACAAAAGGGTGGGCAATTGGTGCTGTCCTGAAAGACTACTGGAAAAGGGGCATTACCGTAAGTGTAACTTAATTTTTCCCCTTTTGTTTTTTAGGACAGCACCTTGAGAGGATAAGCGAGTACTCACCCCTCAGGCGGGCTGACCACTTGCAGTACCTTACATCCAAAGGCCTGCTCTTGCACCAAGACCAGGTCGAGTCTGTAATGCTTTACAAACATTCCATAACTGGACCAGGTTGCTTCCCTAAAAATCTGTCCTGGGGACGCTCCTGCCAGCTCAGCTTGAGTAGCTGCTATGGCCCGGGTGGAATGCGCCCCGATTCCCTCCGGGACCTCTAGACCTTCTGCTCGGTACGCTTTTCAATTGCTAGTGTTTCTGTCTTCGGCTCAGATAGTCGGCTATCTGGTTCAATTCTCCTTTTAGGTGGACGGCAGACAAGGAGGCAAGGTTTCTCTCTGCCCAAGACAGAACCACTACCGCCAGGGACCAGAGAGACCTGCTCCTTGTACCACCCTGTTTGCTTATGTAGGCCACAGCTGTTGCATTGTCCGTCAAGACGCGGACATGCTGGCCCCTGATCCTGCTCTGTAAGGAGCGAGAGCCTCCAATATCGCTCTCAACACCCTCCAACTTGAGGATTCCCTCTTTTCTCCTAGGAACCACTCTCCCTGAATCTCCTAGGTGTGCCCCCCAACCTTGGGCGCTGGCATCCGTCGTGATCTCCCTGACCACTGGAAAACTCCATAACAGTCCCTGAGTCACATTGGCTGTCTTCCTCCACCACCATAGAGATCTTTTTTACGCTGGGGGGGGGGGGGGGGGACGAGAATACGGGTATCTGAGGACCGTACCTGTCTGTCCCAGACCCTTAGAATGAAAAGTTGGAGGGACAAAGATGCAATCCTGCCCACTGAACTGCCAGGATTAACGGAGTCAACAGTCCCAACACTGACATGGCTTGTCTCACAGTTACGCCCCGGCTCCCCAGCAACAGCCTGATCCCTCCGTCTAGCTTGATGAGTTTTTCTGAGGTTAGCATGGTCTTCTGTCCTGTGGAATCTAGAATGTTCCCCAAATAGGTAATTCTCTGGGAAGGGACTAGGCAGGATTTGTCCAGGTTCAATAGCCAACCCAGACTCTCCAGATGACTCCTCACCGCAGCAACGTCGCAGCCCAGCTGGACTTCCGAGCCCACAAATAGAAGCAGGTCATCTAAGTAAGCTACTACCGCAATTCCTCTCAGCCGAATGGGAACCAACACTTCGGCCAGCACCTTGGTGAAAATTCGTGGAGAGGAGGAGAGTCCGAATGGCAAGGCCCGGAACTGAAGATGGTACATCCCTGCTATGTCCTGAACTGCCAACCTGAAGAAACGCTGGGAAGCTTCTGCGATAGGCACGTGAACGTAAGCATCCTTTAAGTCCATAGAGGCCATGAAGGCCCCTGGTGGAAGGAGGGCTCTGATCGTAAAGATTGAGTCCATGCGGAATCTCTTGTACCGTATGGGCTTGTTTAGGGGT